TGGCGGGCTGGGGCTTGGGGTGCGATCTGGCGGGAGACGGTGCGTGCTCGCGGGTGTGTTGGTGCCGGAGCCAGAATGGCTGCCCCAGCTTCAGACTGGGAGGATGGCCGCTATTTCATGGAGGACCTGATCCAGCAGGGGCAAGGTACGCTGCAGGGTGGGGTGCAGCCCGGTGGGTGGGCAGGCAGGAAGGAAGGCAGTGGGCGGCTGGGCGGCTGTCTCCCGCGGCAGAGCCGGACGCCCTCCCAGGGCAGGCAGGGCTTGTGGTGGAGGAGCTGCTGAGGCGACTCCCCCGTGCTCCACCCCCAGCGCACGAGGCCCCCGGTGAAAGCCGGCCTGCCCCCTCATCACCAGCTCCTGGGAAGCTCCTCCGTCTTCCTGCCGGAGCGAGCGGAGCTGCCGTTCACCGAATGGAGGGCCCCTTGTTCCCCCTGAGGAGAAGGCAAGCAGGAGGGATCGAGAGTTGGGGGGCCCTTCGGTCCCTGGGCCGCTCAGGGCGGGAGAGGAGTCGCCCGTCCCTGGCGGAGGATGGTGCTCAGCCACTGCTGAATACCTTGGTGAAGGGAGGGCCTGCAGGCCTCCTTCCAAAGGGGGGGCGCTTAGGGTAGGCCTGAGCAGCTCTCCCTGCTGGGCGCCCCCCCAACCCCGCTGGGGAATTAGGAGGTTTAGTCCAGCCCAGGTTTAGCCCCGGGAGGGGACCAGGAGGCAGGAGGTGGGCCAGAAACGTGCTGGAGGACCTCGCCTGGGCCTGCCTGCTTCCCACCAAAGCGCTGGGCAGGCTCATCCAGGAGCCGCGGCCCTCGCTTAAGATCTGGGGGGAGGTGCAGGAAGCCGTGGTGCTGTGCAGTTACATTTGTGCCCCAAAGCGGGTGGCTCTGAAAACTGAGGAGCCTCCCATCCCTCCCCAGTCAGCCACCTCCTCCCCTGCCAGTGTTTGTCCAAGAGCAAGAAAAGGAGGGGTGAACCAGCCCCACCGCCCAGGAGTGGGGTTTTGCCAGCTCCTTTCCCATCTGGAGTAGGAGGCAGGCCTTTGCATACGGGATGGAGCCTGGGGGCATGACTTAGGGGCTTTCTGTACTCCAGAGACCTTGCCTCCTTTCTGGGGTCTAACAAGAGATGGCCCAGATGTCAGGATCTTCTCTGGTCTGGGGAGAGTGGGCTCTGAAACCCCGCCCCATACCCGTGGGTCAGATGAAGCCGCTGGGACGTGGCGGGGAAGTGTGGGGTGGCAGAGGGCCTCAGGTTGGCGTGATGTCTTTGCTGCTTAGCTGCCATCTTGCCCACGTCCCAGGCAG